ACAGATGGGAGCTCACAAGTTAATACGTACAACAAAGTAGCCCACTTGTACACAAAAAGGAAAATAAATCAGTTCAGCCAATAATGTGACTGATGAAACTTATTATACAGTTCAAAATCATAGCATTCACAGAGCAATATTATATGCATTTGGTACAGTCACTCAAAAAAGTATCAACGCTTATGTTCTTGCGTCGAGTTGAACATAAATCCGCAGACCTCAACCGGTTTCGGCCTCACTCCAGGCTTTCCTCTGGTGGATTCAAATTACATATATATCAACATTTGCTGCAAATAAATTCATTGAACATCATGTACATAAACACCGAAACCGGTTGTGGGCTGCGGATTTATGTTCAACTCGACGTATGAACATACGGCGTTGATATTTTTTTGAGTGACCGTACCAAATGCATATAATATTGCTTTGTGAATGCTATGATTTTGAACTGCATAATAAGTTTCACCAATCACATTATTGGCTGAACTGATTTATTTTCTTTTTTGTGTACAGATGGGAGCTCACCCCATCTCGAAGATTCGAACCACCAACCTTGCGCAGTTCAGCCGGCGCAAGGATTTAACCCATTGCACCACCATGGCTTGTACATATTTAAGCCAATGTGGTTGGATCCTATATGCTACTACTATTGCTAAAATACTTGCACTTTGAAGTTGGAAAGAGAAATATTCATTATCTATCATTCAATTATCAGAAAATATCATTGTTTTTTAGATAAGGTATCAGAAAGCAAGGATACTCCCCCCCCCCCCCCAGATATCCCAGTCAAGCAGCATGTGCAAGGGGGGACATATAAACAAAACTTCCATATGTTAGATTCAACTTGCTTAGGTTAGAAATTGCCTTGTTGGTTTCCTTACCAGCTTTGGCAAACATTTTGTTTTTGTGTGCTTTTATTTTACACATTAGGCACACTCCAATAGATATGCAGGAAAATGGGAATATTGAGGAGGAGAGCTGGGTAAGATGAAAGCGTTAGGTGGAAGATTCCATGGAAAAACCGTAACCTTTTCTCCTGAGCTGGTTATTCTCTACCTTCTCTCCCTTAGAAAACACAGGTATTCATTTATAGTACAAACATTTGTTTGTGTCCACATTCCTTTGTCCTGCACTCCTAAACTAATTCACTGTTTTTGAACCATGAAGAGGGATACTATTCAGTCACCACTGTTCAAGTCAACTAGTAGTCCAGTCCTGAAGATGCATCGTTTTGCTTACTCTAAGCAGCAATATAGGTCTAAATACCTGAAGGCACCAAGTCTCATTTGATTGTGGAAGCTAAGCAGGCAGTACTTGGGCAGCACTTGGATGGGAGGCTACCAAGGAATACCTGGCTACTACTTAGATCAGTGGTTCTCATCCTCTGGGTCCCCTGGTGTTTTGGTCTACGACTCCCAGAAATCCCAGCCAGTTTACCAGGATTTCTGGGAGTTGAAGGCCCAAACATCTGGGGACCCACAAGTTGAGAACCACTGATTTAGGTGGAAGACCACCAAGGAATTCCAGGGGCTGTAGGCTATATGTCAAAGGAAGGAAATGCAAATCACATCTAAATATTTCCCTTTGAAATGAAGCAAACTGCATCTAAATATTGGCCTATGAAATTCAGAAGGCATCATTACAGAGAACTCATTTGGCCAAACCTGGTAGGGAGGAATTGTGTGCATATGCTCTTGTCCCTACACTGAATGAATAAAAGAAACAGTAACTGTCCAAGGTGATCCAACACAACGGCATGGTGAGCAATGTGTACATGTTGAGAGTATAGCAGCATGACTGTTGTAAATATGTCCAAAAAAGAGAGAGAAATATCAGTGACATGGCAATTTAGACCAGAACTTTCCAAACTATGTGTTGCAACATGCTGGTGTGTTGGCCATAGTGCGTAGGTGTGTCACATGAATGTAATGAGTCTATGTGAAATAAACAATAAATCATGTTTTTAAAAATATAAATGAAAGGTTTTCATGAGATATGTTGTTTCCTCTCAAGTTCATTATGACAATGTATTTATACATCCATATTTCTTATAAGGGGTTGATTTAATCTCTGGCATGCTAGTAAAGCTGAATTACTGTGTTGCAAAATGATGCAGGTCTACAAAGGTGCGTCACCAACATGAAATGTTTGGAAAGTTCTGGTTCTGACAAATGGAATGCCTGAGAACAAGAATATATAGACACACAGTGAGATACTGAGAATGGGGGAAGGAGGGTCGTCTTACTGACAAATAAAACATTTCTCTTTGCAAATCTGAATCTTACATAGATTCATACTCCTAAAACTCTTCAAGATAGTACATGAACCTGAGAAACTTGGCTGGAGACTTCAAAAGTGCATGCCACAAAATTGTCTTCCAGCACCTTTAGTTCTGTCTTGTTTCATGAATACATAGTTAAGGTTAAACTTGCATCAAATCATTAATTTGCAACTGATTGTCCCAAACTCTCCAAATTCCAGTGCTAATTTTCTTGTCTATGCACAAGAAGAGGTGGGGAGAAGACCCTACTTAACTTGGTTGTGCACTTCCTTTTTCTCATAGCACTGTAAGTCCCTTTTCATTGGGAAAATGACCAAAACCATCATGGTTTCTCCATCCCTCAATGAATGCAATTTCTCACCTCTGAAGGAACCAATATATTCATTTCACCCTCATGTACATCTACAGCATTTCCTTTGTTCTCTTTTCTTCCCATCACAAGCAATTTTTTTTGCATTTTCTACCTCCTTCAATCTGAGATGAAGGACAGCCTTCCATAAACTCAAACGTGTAGGACTACAATGATCACAATCTTCCAGTCATCTGGGGGGATTGTGGGAATTGGAATCTAACACATCTATTGGGATGGATACCCTCCTGATAAGAGAAGGCTAATTTAGAGAAATTAGCCTTCTCTAAGACTAATAGTGAGGGGCTGCGGTGGCGCAGTGTGTTAAACTGTTACAGAATTTGCTGACTGGAAGGTCAACGGTACGAATCTGCGAGATGGGATGAGCTCCCGTTGTTAGTCCCAGCTTCTGCCAACCTAGCAGTTCAAAAACATGCAAATGTGAGTAGATCAATAGATATTGCTTCTACGGGAAGGCAACGAAGCTCCATGCAGTCATACTGGCCATATGACTTATGATGTGTCTACAGACAATGCTGGCTCTTCGACTTAGAAATGGAGATGAGCACCACCCCCCAGAGTTGGCTTGACTAGACTTAATGTCAAGGGGAAACCTTTATCTTTAAGGCTAATGGATGGGGAAGAAGAAATGAAGTTTATATGCACAGCAACAGGTGAGCGGAAATACAGGAACGGAGGAAATGTCAGAACTGGGTAACTCAGCAAAGTGAACATTTCCGCCTTCCAGCTACATGGCCTGTTTTTTGTTCCTCATATACACTTGCTGGCTACACAAAGGAGCTGCTTAACTTTTAATGATTTTAATGGGTGCTTCAATAAGGAACCCCAAATTTTCTATGTGACACAGATCTATGAGGAAGCTCTATTTCGGCACCTGGAAATGCTGGTTTGTACCAAAAGTAGGAGAGGTGATAAAAACAGCTGGTTAGGGACCACATTATGAATGTGTCTCCATATAAAAGAGACCCTCCCTTTGGGCATGTAAAAGCAAATACAAGTTGAGTATTCCTTATGCAGAATTCAAAAATTCAAAATACTCTGAATCCAAAATTGCCCACACGAGTGCCCAGCTTTTGTGTGTGTTTGTGTGTGTGTGTGTCAGGAGCAACTGGAGAAACTGCAAGTTACTTCTGGTGTGAGAGAATTGGCCATCTGCAAGGATGTTGCCCAGGGGACATCCAGATGTTTTGATGTTTTTACCATCCTTTTGGAGGCTTCTCTCATGTTTCATGTCATGAGAGTGCCCACCTGTGTGGCTGAGATAGTGACACCTTTGCTTTTTGATGATTCAGTGTACGCAAATTGTGTTTCATGCACAAAATTATATAAGGTACATGTGAACCATACATGAATTTCATGTTTAGACTTACTTCCCATCTTCAAGTTTCCAATACACATATATGCAAATTCAGATATTCCAAAATGCAAAATCCCAAGCACTTCTGGTCCCAAGCATTTCAGATAAAGGATATTCAACCTGTATAAGAATTCTGACCTTACTGTTTGCCTTGTCCCTGACATTGTAAGTTTGCAAGTAGGTATTTCCATTCCATCCAACCCTCATAAACCATAAGCACATATTCCACTATACAATTTCTTCAAATTTAAAAGAGTTTACCATCTCATCCATTTGCACATATTGCCCTAAACAGGTATGAAAATATAAAGGATTGGACTCTTCAAATTACAAATGAAGTTTGTAGGTAAATTGTTTTTGAATTCTGAAGCCTACTGGAGATGCATTGCATTCATAAAGGAATAAAACTTCCCAGCATCTCAAAAATCATTAAGGGAAGAGGGAATCCAATCACTAATTTTATTTACATGAAAACAGCAAGTGATATGAATAGAAAGTACATTCCAGATTTTGATCTCATCTTGGAAAACTTCAGATCCATGCACCTTCTCACCCTAAGCATGCTTTAAACATCCACCCACCTGTAATTTAGCATGACAGCATAATGCAATATGTGTGTTTAGAGATACGAGATAATTGGTTTGTCAGTTCCTCCATTTGGAAGGCTCTGCTGCAAATACTAAACAAATTCAACCCTCTGGGAGAGAAACCCAATAAAGTCATACTCAACAAAGGATTCTCAGACAGCCTTCAAATGTAATTATGACACAATGATTTAAACATTTGATTTACTGCCTGAGCTAAACAGGTAGTTAGTTCAGACCTCAGAAATCAGTCAGATTTCCATCTACATTCTTAGCATGTAATAGTTGGTAATGAAATTATTGTAGAATATATATTAAGCAAATTGCACTGCTATAGGAAACTAAAGACACCAAGTGAAATTGCATCTCCTCTCCCCCTTCTCATCTTATAAATTCCAGGCAACACACCTTGTTTCTTGAGTCCAGTAGCAAAGAAACCCCTGAGGTCAAGTGTGCAGCAAGTACAGTCCTGGAGTGCAAGAAGTTGTCCTGAGAGTGGTAGAAAAACCAAAGCCGATGTGGGAGGATCTACCAATCACAAAGAGGATAGGCAAAAGAAATAATCCAACCACTGACTGGCCACTCCCCTCAAGAATAAGGTCACTGCATCCTCACTATGGAAAAGTGTGGCAATAGCCACTCAAACAACTCATGACTCATGTATCTATTCCAGCTTTAACATTAGGAGGTTCCAATGGAACCTAGGAAGATATTTCTTTGAAGCCAGCATTTCTGGTTGATGACCTACAAGAAAGCAAAGCATGCAAATTTTAATTACTTTAAATCTGAAATGGAATTTCTTGCATGCCCCTAGTACCAATTTGAGTGTTTGGCTTATTATAAAGTAGTGGTTTCCAACCTGTGGTCTGTGGACCACCAGTGATCCCCAAGAACTAAAATATGGTTCGCAGCTTCATCGTTACTACACCGATGCAACAAGAGCAACTGGTCTTGCTAAACCCTCTTACAGTGCTGAGGCAATGGGGATGTCTGAAGGGCGACAATCCACAAAAGGTGTGACAACAAGCTTCATGACTGCTGCTTCTCCTCTTCCTTCCTCCTCCCAGGCAGAGCTGTTCCACGTGGCGCCTGGAAGCGGGGGGCACCTTAGAGTCTTCGTTTTTAGGTCTGTTCCTGGGGTTATTTGGGATGCTGATTCAGAAAATTGCATTGGATAGACCACATCAGCTTTAGATTATTAAATATGGTTTTCTGTGGGTGAGCCGATGGCGACTACTGGATGGCATATCATCATCATCATCATCATCATCATCATTTAATAACTTATTAATCACCCTCCATCCGAGAATGCTCTAGGCGATTTACAGCTAAATTATAAAAGATAAAATACATACATACAAAAATTAAAAATTAACAGAGATCGAATGCTCTAGTAAAAAACCAGGTCTTATGTACTGTATCAGTAACTATATCCAATGCAATTTTCTGAATCAACACCCCAAATATCCAAACCGAATCTAAAGTTGACCAAAAACTGAATTGTAACCCTTTTGGTACTAATGTTGGAGAGTGGTTCCTGGTCAAGTGGTCAAAAAAGGTTGGAAACCACTGCTATAAAGTGTAATCAACCACCAGACATTAATAGTGACATCATAATATTCCACATTCTTTATAACTGAGATGATTATAAATACAGTCAGCCATCCATATCCATGGATTTCATATGCATGGATTAATGGCTTGAAAATATTCCCCTCTCCTCGCCCCAGTTTTTTAAAAAATCTTGATTTTGCCATCTTATATAAGGGACACTGTTTTACTATGCCATTATATGTAATGTGTCCTGAGCATTCATGGATTTTGGTATCCATGGAGGGAAGGGGGAAGGTCCTGGAACCAGTGGATACCAAGAGTCTGCAGTATTGCAAGTCATTTTAGTAGCATTATGTAGAAACAGAATTTTCAAAAGTTTAATTGTTATAATAAACAAAGTTATTTTTTACTGATCGAGAAATTGTAGCAGCTTACCTACATTGTTAGTCTTCCCAACTATAGTCTGATGTATTGTATATTTATTCAGATCATTACAATGTGTATATATTCATCTGCCTGAAACAACACCCTGTGCAAATTGTATGCAGATTTTAGGCAAATTTGTGTTGTATTTCTCCCCCTTTTTTGATGTGGAAGAAGCCACCCAACTGCATTATACCTAGTCGTACTAGTGGCCGTGTCATCACCGTATGAAGTATTGTAGAAACATACCGGAGACCAATTGTGCGTCCCTGTTTCCTTTGACACCAGGGAAGAAGCTGGGCAAGGCGTGGGGCAGCTAAGCTTTATAGCTACGTCAGCAAATTTAACTTGAAACTTCAGACATGCTCCCGCCTCTCTTTTCCCTTTATTTGACTCAGAGAAACTTATTAAGTATTATTAGGCATTTCATTGCAGTTGCACCTAAGGCCCAAATCCTTATGTACCAACTGTAAAGAGAAAACAATAGCCTTGTCTCTGCAATGCAGAACCACCACCATGGTATTTTATTTCTCTCTGTGAGTCTGTTTCAGTGTTTGAGGTTACACAAAAATACACTATGAAATATTCCATGGCCACAAGCCAGATATGTTCTTCCAGACCTCCCACAGCCAACCCAAACAACAACATGCAATATCACACATCCCCGTGGTTATCAACACAGGAAAACTAATATATGTGTATGTATGGTTGGAGTTACACTTGAAAATGTTCCAACTTATGTACAAATTCAACTTAAGAATTAGCCTACAGAACCTATCTTGTTCGTAACTTGGGGGCTGCCTGTACTTGGACGGTAGTGTAAAATCTTGAGCTTCAGAGATTTAATTCTGGCACTAGAACTAAGACTTAACCAAGATGCTTCTATTTTTTAAATAAAACAAAACCACAAGTAGCTATTATTTGTATTTTCTGCATTTCAATCCCCTTTGGCCCCATTGTTGACAATTTCCTTTCTCCTCTCATGCACCTATATACTTAGTTGCTGGCAATGGTGCAAGAAATAAGGTTGAACACTGTGAAAGCCACACACCGTAATGTTGTCAGCTTCCTCCCAGTAGACTTAAATCAAGGAAAAGTTTCATGAGAACCACCATTCCTCTTTACATTCCCCCCAGCAACAGCAAGAGTATCCCCCTGGGCAGCTAAACCAGGAAATCCCAAATGGATGGTCCCTCACGAGGGTCTTCCTCCAGGGGCAAAACAAGAATGGGAAACTTGAAAGTCCCTGAACAGACTCAGAAGTGGTGTGAGATCAAAAGACAACCTGGCAAAATGGCACTACCTAGAAGAATCCTCCACCTTGTGAGATTGTGGAGCAGAACAAGCAATTATATATAATGTCATAGTAAAACAGTGCTCCTTAGGTCAGATGGTAAAATCAAGATTAGTTTTTTGAATTTTGGGGTGGGGAGAGGGGATTTTTTTAAGCCATTGATCCATGCATATGGAATCCATGGATATGGAGGGCTGACTGTACTTATAGTCATCTCAATTATAAAGAATGTGGAATATTATGAAATCACTGTTTTGTCTGGTGGTTGATTACACTTTATAGCAGTGGTTCCTAACCTTTTTTGACCATTTTGACCAGAGAACACTCTCCAACATTAGGTCAACTTTAGATCCGGTTTGGTTATTTGGGGTGCTGATTCAGAAAATTGCATTGGATAGACCATATCAGCTCTAGTTGCTGATACAGAACATATGCCATCCAGTATTCACTATCTGCTTGCCCACAGAAAGTAATATTTAACAATCTAGAGCTGATATGGTCTATTGTTGCAATGGTGTAGTAACGGTGAGGCTGCGGACTGTATTTTAGTTCTTGGGGACCACTGGAGCTCCATAGACCACAGGTTGGGAACCACTGCTTTAGATCTAGTGGAAAGCAAAAATATTTCTTCCGAGATTCAACTGGTAGACCAATTATGGTAGTTTTTGCAAATGAGGGTAACGTCTTACTCAGCTCTTGATCTTAAGCACTACCTCTTGAGAGGAGCATAAGAACACAAGTCCTTATGCTTTTTGCTTAATTAGTGAAATAATATATGAGACTAAATGAAAGATAACAAATCTCAGTTTACAGGTTTGATAACTGAAATCGGAGATGCCAGTGGCTTGTTTAGTATAGCAAAAAGCCTCAGGGAAAAGGAGGGGAGGAACTTACCTTTCTCACATTCCTTGGCAACCTTAACTGTATAACTAGTTTTCCTATCAGATAATTAAAATAAAAAATAAGTATCTCTATTCAAGCAACATGTAAGTAAACACATTACTTATCTGACAAAAGAATCCTACATTCAGTTATTTGTGTTATAAAAATAAATGGATTTTTAGGCTGATACAAATTGCATCTGAGTTGTCATTAAGATAATTATGTATGTGTGCATGGCTCCAAATTGCCTATTGATTTATGGTGAAACTATGAATTTTATACATTTTTCTTAGGCAAGAAATACTCAAGTTTTGTCATTATTCCACATTTTATTAGTACCCTAAAATCCCCAGGAATGTTTAGGTGAGCCAGGCCATATGATAATTTAACAGCAAGGTTATTTTTAATTTTAGGAACAGAAAGTGTAACAAAGCAGTTTCTCTTCTTGTGGTATATAGTTTAGTTTTCAACTGGAGAAAGAGTGGTAAGTGTCATGTTAGCTTCACGGATTCAAGGCACTTTTAAACACTTTATGGGATATTGTTTAGACCCAGACACCCTAAACAAAATAAGGCTAAGTGGTTGAGCCCCTGGAACATTTCCAAATAGGCTCATTTTTTGGTCACATTCTGAGAGTCATAATGCAAATAATAATTAATGTAATAAATAGGTATATATGAAACAAAATATTAAGTACAATAGACAGTGACACAAATATTCTCATGTGTGAAACCCCTTTCAAATATCCTTTGGCACATATTAATACATGTGTAACAACCTGAGCCCTGCCACATGCCCAATGGAGGACCTTCTTGCGGCAACACCAGAGGCACTCCAAGTGGCCAGATACTGGTCAAAGGACATTTAATCAACTACCAAGCTGGCAAATTTTGTGTTTTGTCTTTTTGTTTGTTTTGTTCTGTTAGAATTGTAATACAATTGTCTGGTTGCCCCTGACATGATAAATAAATAAATAAATCCATGTGTTTTCTGGTGCCCCGGAGACGAGGACATAGAACATTAGGAAAAACTTCCTGACTGTGAGAGCTGTTCAGCTGTGGAACTCTCTGCCCTGGAGTGTGGTGGAGGCTCCTTCTTTGGGGACTTTTAAACAGAGGCTGAATGGCCATCTGTTGGGGGTGATTTGAATGTGATTTTCCTGTTTCTTGGCAGGGGGTTGGACTGGATGGCCCACGAGGTCTCTTCCAGCTCTACTCTATTATTATATGAATAATTGATGCATCAGGAGATTTAGGAAATTATTTTGG